TTGGTATTCAGTGTAAGTCGGTGCTTACGCCTTTGACTGAGAGTGTCGATCTTCTGCTCTCTTTCTTATAAATAAATACCCATATGAGATTCACCTGTTAGACAATCAAAGATGATGCTGTGGAGATGTTCTGAGTGATAATAGCACCGTTATCAGATGTTCATTATCAATGAACCCTTCTCTTTACAGAGATATCATTAGTTGAGAACTCCAGATGACTGGCGGTCGGTTGAGTTTTGTCGCAAATGATACCGAACAAAGAGGATCCCTCATTAGATCACGAACCTTGCTGGGTAGCGTCGTAATCTGATAGCAAGAAATGGACAAAATCCCTATTTGCCTACCGTAATGCCGCTAATGGGTCCCTATCACTGCACTTACCACTCACTTTTGTCACCCTACTCTACCATCCCGTCTTATCGAGTGAAACATACTGAGCAGCGAAAGCTACATACTACGAAAGCCACATAGCGAAGCTACATAAATACCGAAGACCTTAGGATTTTGACTGGATGGCCTTTCTTAGGTCATTTTTCTTCTCTTATCAGTTATTATCAGTTCCTGTTACCGAGTATCTACGATCCCTTCATATCTACATCACCTATTGAAATGCCGAGGCTCCACTGTTAATACGAAAAGTGTAATCCTACCAAATTTGAACGCTCGAGGTTTACGTAAACAGGAGTTATGAATTTGCGACCCCAAATTTCCATCGCGCACGCCCCCCCCCCCACACAGGTACGGGGACGAGTGCAGTCTGATGTCGACGCCTCCCTACAATCTCTATTCTTATTAGCCATTCTCACCGAACACAAGGCTTTCTCAACTTTCACATCGATTCTTTTGTGCTCACACTCTCCAAATCTTCTTCCGACTATAAACACATTCTCACGGTATCGACTTGATCATTGCTGTGGGAGTCCATTTTTTTTGCTGGAACTATTATGAGGACCCTGAAACTAGCGATTGCCGAATGAAGGCATCTGAATAGGTGAGTGCTGCACCGTTCTAATTCGTGGTCACCTGGCCTTATGATGTCTCACAAACTGTAAACGTATATATATGAGTGAAGTCCTCGGATGGCAACGGGTCAAATTTCCTGCGTCTTGGTGTAGATTTGAACTTAGTGTGGAACTAAAAACTTGGACGCAGTTGGCCATTTTAGAACTTCTCCTTCTTTTTATTTCTAACGTCAATACCGCGGCGTCGCAGGGTCCACTGATCTTGTTAGGTGTCTCCATTTTGTTCAATCTATTGTATCTTCTGTAGTCACCTTGATTTCAGCGAGGTCCTTCTCAATCACCTCCTGCCACCTCTTCCTTAAAGATCCCCACGGTCGCTTCCCTTGGATCGAACCTCATCGCCTTGAGCTTTGGGTGGTCCAATGGCCTTCTTACCATCAGCACACGCCCATACCATCGCAGGCGCTGCCCATCTTCGGCTGTGAAATTGCTTGTTCAATCTTTCTGACATTTCGTTGACCTTTCGTTTCTAATTCGACCCCATGGCGTACAACCACAGGTCCACCTCGACAACAGTTCCGACAGTTTGATGATAGGTTGCTCAGAAAATAAGATCTTCATTGAAATATTTATTGTGTTAACATGCCCAATGAATAACCTCTCTCCATCACAAAGATTAGTCTAGACAAATGTGCAACCTAGATTGTTTTGTCATTGACGTTAACGGGTGATGAGTCCGACATTCGACAAATCGTTACGCCTTGCTATCTCCGTTGAGATGTTTGTTTCGTGCCGCTTTTATTCCTTGCCATAAGAACACTTGTCTTTCTTTATTGGACCTTGAGCCGTTAAAGAGCAGAAGACAAGAAGATTGGAGACTTGAGCACTACAGCATGCAGGGCTGCGAGACTGGAGCTGTGAGACTGCCGAACTGCGGAGTTGTCGACTTGATCCGTACTGGGGCATACCCAAAAAATGAGCAGCCTATATACTGGCCCAGTGGGCGGTACCGTCGTAACGTTTAATTCTCTGGTATGGGATTTCATGGAGCCCAGTTTTTCGAATTTTCGTCCGAGGTTCATCGAGCATTAAGGATATTCGTGTGTTCCTCGTGATAATGGCGAAGAATTGTGACGACGTCCTCATTTCTTCTGAACGGGTTTGCCTTCCATTATTCTTACCTATGGTTCTACACTAATTCCCGTAAAGCACTGCGGGTCTCACAACTGCTCTGTATAACTTGTTTTTGAGCCTCCCGTAATACCTGAAAAAGGGACCAGCCATAATGATCATGTAAATTTTAGTCGATGTCTTTGAAATCTCCTTTGATTGCATTAAAATTTCAGATAGACCTTTATGTACCTTTCATGACAATTATGCAATTCATCTTTGTTATTGGATGGATGAAGGTAGGTAGAATTAGATTTTGCTCTTCTCTTTTCTCTATCTCTCATTCTCCACATGTCTTGAATAATATAAGTCATATATATGAACCTAGGTCGCCGAAGCACTTCTGAATCCTCTCGGTGAAGATGATGACGATTTTGAATGCAATTTCCTGATCGACAAGAACATTGCTGTGAGTCACTGTTTTCTTCTACGGAGTAATTTTTGGTTTTTTGCATCAGCCGTGGAAGTCAGCTAGAAATGGAATGTTTCCAGACAGGTCTCTCAATTGTCGACGAGTCATACAATAAATGTCCAGAGCTTATGCCTGACCGATTCATGGATCCGAATTATGCCCCAGTTTATTCAGAAGATAGTAAGAAATACGGTCACGATGGAGTGCTGGTTGGATCGGCGGAAGGAATTAAGTGGGTTACAGCAAAATCCAAATGGACCCGTCATATTTCCTCTAGACCAAAACAATATTCTTTCAGGCTTGCAGATTCGGAAGAAAATGTAAAAATGGTATCGCTCGATGAAAAAGGTAGGAAACCTTTTATTGTCATCCAAGCTCAGAAAAATTGTCTGTACGGAGTCATAAATTGAAGAACAACCATTTAGAGTTCTTGCAGTTTAGGCCATTCCAAAACAAATCGTATTCAATCTTATTACTCAGCACAGCGCTACTATATCTCTGAAAATATGTTATGAAGTTTTCTTTCAGAGTACCCTATCGAACCAAGATCTCGAACGACGGGTGGTCTACGAAGGAAGCTTACCAGCGCACTGAATCGTTCTCGGTGAGGGTTCTCTGATGCTAGTCCCGAAGATATCAACCCACCCCCTCACCAGCCTGCCCCTGCGCCCTGCACTCTGCACTCTGCATACATATATCTTCAAAAACAATCCTATCCGAATTCCCAAGATATGTGTCGCGCCGGCGGTGACGCCCTGCTCTTCGCTACAGATGGGCATCGGGGTTTGCCGCGCTTAAAAGCGCCATCGCGTGAGGGTCCGATCGTGGTTTTAGGCGACGCTTGCTCTCGCCCTTGCCATACGGGGTGTTGCCTTGGCCCTTGGAGCCCCCGACGCTGGTCCTACACCCCAACTATCGCCCTATGCGCACTACTTCCTACGTCACGGAGCAGCCTACGCACGGCCCAACCACATCAATCGAATCAGATACAACCTTCCAAAGCGTGTAAACTGTCTACGATATTAAGCCTTCAACACAATATTCAAGATAGTTCTTCATGAGAACGCCAATAATAGTCAAAAGGATGGAATCGTAGAAAACCATCATATATATATATATATATACAAAAGGAAAACAAAAACTTCGATAATTTAAAGCTTCGACGATCACAAATAAACCCGCGTATCAGGAAGCTCGCACCCAGTGCGTTAAGTCTCTTGGGGGTGACGTGACTTGGGACCGCTGGCGCCTCCGGGCTTCCATGCCCGAGTCGATCACTACCTATTCGGTCGGATTGCATCACATCTTCATCCTCGGGCTAGTGACGGCAGGACAACGGGAAGTGACAGCCGTATACGACGACGACACGTAGACAGGCTGCCGGATGTTCTAGGCCAGAGCATACGTCTACTATAGCCGACGCGCAGGCGCTGTTCGCGCCGGGAGCACCTTCAAGAAGTCGAGCGGAAGCCACGACACTGTGGGAATGTTGCTACCCGCCTGATCTGTCCACTTGACAGCACATAAAGGTTAGTCAATCCCGTTTCCCAGATGCGCCCGCGCATTCGTTTTCCATTCAAAATCGTAGTGATGATTTCATTGCGTGCGTGCTCCACACAATGAGTTGCGCTGACCAGCCCATCTGCACTGCACGTCAGTGCATTTATGCTCCCAGACGAGTTGCTATTATCTAACCGACTCGGAGAAGGGTAAAGCTACGTTAGCGTGCGTAGGCATCGATCTAGAGCTTCGACCAGTGGGCCATGCATGTGATAGTGAGCACTACTGACCACCTTTACAGAGTCTGTCGTCGAAAAACTTGGTGTCAATAGCCTATGATTTGTTGTTCTAGTTTTGAGCAACTCTGATAAGTTGTCTTGTTTAGCGGTCGTCCACATACGCTAGAACCGGTTCACTTAGGTGCTACTACTCCTGAATTCAGCTACAGTCCACAACGGCCTTACTCTACATTCGATTTGTCTAATGGTGAATTTTTGAACTTAATTTGGTTCGCTTTTCATTCGAAACTATCGAGATTCCTTTACTGCCTCACTACGGACGGCTTTTTAGCTCGAAATGGCCCTGAATCTTTCTGTTCTTGAGTCCAACAGAGAAAACACTCGTTGCAGGTTTCACCGCAACACCTCAACTTTACTCTGGTCCACGAAATTTGGGAAGAGTAGAAGAAGATAAGGAAAAGTCAAGCGGTAGTTCGCGAGGAGCCAGTATGAGAAGCACGGTGGAAAGCGTCTGTGAGCACGAGGTAATAGCGAGCGTATCCATACGGATGTTCCTCCGGAACCAATGCCGCTTGCCGTGGAAATTCGATATGTAAACCCTCCAAGAATAGAAACTGTTTCGATCATGAACTGTGCCTTTGAGCACCAATCAGTATCAGCTTGATCGATTCCCTGGAAATTCGTGTTCTTTCAGATCCCGGAGTTGTTCAAAAAGGAATTGAATGTCAGTCAAAAGTCCAAACAAAACGGCAGTAACGGCGATACGAAGTGATGAAATGTTCAATGGAAGGAAGTGATCTTGGTCATCAGCAACAGCACACAACAGAACTCTATAATCTTGCATGAGAAAACTCTGATCAATCGAAATATGCTAGTTCGAATAATGTGCAAATCCCTTCTCAGGTTCTGAAGCTGATTCTAATTTACTTGCTGTATTCACTTCCTTGCCGTAGTGTATTCCCCTAAGTTAATTGCTGTGCAGTCAATGGAGGTCGTCTAGAGTTCCAAGTGATGTTGAACATCTTTATGCTACTTCCTCTTAATACCTTCGCCCCCACACCTTCTGCGGCTTCCTGTAANGCTACCTTACGCGCCGCAGCGCAAGGGTGAGATTTGAACTTCCTGTGGATGACTACGGTAATCGCCGCAAAACCACTCCGCGTGAGTATTTGCGGAACTCGAGTGCAAAGTCTGAACCCGCTTCACGCTACCCTTCCCTCTCCCCTCAAGTTCTCTCCCCATTATCTGAAGCATATAAATAAAAGTATAACAGTTTAAGGTACACATTGAAATATTCATGTCATATTTGATAGAGAGGAGGCTCCTGACATAGAGTGGTTCCTCATGCTACCATCGTTTCGTAGAGGTTCCATAGGGTTGTACAAAGATTATCCCATGGCTGGTTATTACTCACCAATTCGGGTTCGTCCAATGGTGGATGTCGTAACGCGTATTGTTCGTTTCATAATTGTCATAATCTCATTCTTGCCTTGATTTTCATTCAGCTCATAATCCGTGTTGCTCACAATGAGGATAATAAAAAATACTTCTCATTTGAATGCACAATCAAAAAAATGCTTTGATAAAGTTGTACGTGATCCCTCCTGAAACGAGTTTCATAGAACCATGCACATGTCTGAATCAACAAAAGCCGTATCCATCTAAGAATGCAAAATAAATCTTCCTGAAGGAAATTTATGTATTAGCAACAAAGCAACAGAATACTATCACAGCAAAGGGGCACAAAATAAATGAACAAAAACGTTAACAAAAAAAGGCAACTGGTCAAAAAAATAGAACGCTGCCTCGGTGATCCCATTCGGAAACAAGTTCTGGACAAATGGTTATAGCTTGACATCAATGACACCATTTACACCGAATAACTAACTCCCAAGAAAATGGATCGCTACGGACGAACGTACTGAATAATCAGCTCTGCTCGAGGGTGAGCCACATAAAGGCGAACGCGCAAGAAAGCATCAAAATAAAAAGGGGGTTCTTACAAATAATTGATCCCGTGGTGGAAATCTATAATTTCCTCGCAGGAACAACAACCCAAACAGCAAATGTTCTCTAAAATGCTACAACCATTTTTTGTCGGAAGAGAGCGAGCGCATGGCATTAGCTTAATTGATGCAATGACAAAAATTCCAAATAACGCTGATACGTCCACGATACTAAAGTTGCTCCAAAAAACGATTAATTAAATATTTCTATGCTCGAAAGACTTATCCTGTTTCTCAGATGTCGCAGAATAGGATACCACGACGGTGAATTGAGGCTCAAACGAAAAGCTTTTGGGTTTAGATAAGATGCCGACCTCTTTCCATACTACTAATTATAGCAATTCATCGGAATACCCGGCAACCGTGGCTTCCTTTGTTCATCACTCGCGCACCTTAACCCAGATCAAAGTATCACAAACATGATTCAGTACAAGGGAAACCTATCATTATAAACCTTAGATGAATAGCCACTGCCTCATAGAAAAGATCAGAATGGCTCATTCCTCCTGAAGTAGATGTAACCATACATAGAACACGAGAGCAATGCGATGAGCCAGAGAATGCAGCTACAATTTGACTCTATCGGAATTTCTTAACTCATGACTTATTAGTCTTCTTAGTTATCGCTTTTGTTTTTACAGCATCAGTTTTCTTTCTTCTCTCGAGATTATCCATATTTGCTCTGAGCACTGAGACATACGCCAGATGGAACTTATTCACCTCCTTTGAAGTCACCTGCAATAACTTCTATATGAGCGCATCTTTAGCAGTCACCCATGGCAATTTGAAATACGTTATGTGTAAGATGGCTTCGAAACGTATACCGAGACAAAAGTCTAAGAATGAGATTGAAAAGCTCTTTTCAATTGCAAGATACCCTCACGACTGGTAATGGAGCTGCTACTTCCATGAAGCTCAGAGAATTCTACGTTCAATTAATGCACTAATACTGACCACAGTGCTGATGCGCTTTCTCCCCAGTTTGGCACGAAATAGGCACTTATTGCCTTCAGATGGTGGTGGATCTCCTTCCTTCGGTAATGGTTTTGTCCGACCGTCATCTGAAACAAAAATGCAGCTTTAAACACGATATGCGCCGAGATAATCAGGAAATGTAACTATTTATAATGCGAGGGCCACGTGGACTAAGCTGTGCATGGGTTCTGGTTACAAATCTTCAATTCCAGTTCTAAACAATAGCTGTTTTCGACATTAAAACTGAACAAGCAACGAATTCAAACTAATTTAAATGCCAATAAAACAATGCTGATTAAGTATGAACTCCTGTTGGAATCAGACACGCTATTTCCCATATAAAAATAGAAGAATAATCATCAAAAATTAAAAAAGAAGAGTTTATGAGTTCAGATTAACATTTCTACTAGGAAGGAAGTGAATAAGTAGTACTGTCCTCTAATTGTGCCCCCTCTAGACTTCTACAACATTCTGAGCGAATTCAGAAGCCTGTTGAAAAAGGTAATGATACAGGCTCGAAAAAAAAGCTCATAAAGTAACTCTACTTTGCAGACCGTTAACCATATTCTTTAGTTCTTCAAAAAAGCCCATACAGACCCAGATTCCTAGTCCTAGCCTCTCTATCTCTCAAGTATCAGTAATCGCAGAGGCAAAATGTAGTGAAATGATAGTTAATAGTTGCTTAGAAGAAAAACGGAGCAAAAAACAGAAAAGAATTACCACAAGAATATAGCTCCAAGGTAAACGTAATAATATTGCATTGCAGGGAAATAAAAAGTGGTATCTAGTAGTAGAGTGGCGCTAGCCCAAAAGATGGAGTACTAAGAGGGACAGACAAGATTTTCTTCTCCAAGTAAATTCACCGCCTCGGTTTTCATATGTTGAGTATGTGAAGGAAAATGAAGCTTTTCTTTTGCCTAGCAAGTTTGGAGGAACGAAAAAGGCTATTTTTGAAAAAAAAAACAGTTTGAACTGGCAGCAACACCCACAAGGTTTCATAGTCACGTAAACGGACTTGGGACCACCGAGACGAGCATCCATATACATCGCACCTAACTCCTTGAGAAATTCCTCGTTAGAAAGAATCGTCATATTGGAATCTGAAACATAACAAACCTCAGCGCATATTTATAACAAGTCCAAATGAACGACGAAGAAGGACTGCAAAAAGCAAGTGTACAAGAGAAATATCATTAACAATTTGATTACAAAGGCATCAGAGCGAAGCATTCTATAGAATATAAGGGCCACATTCCGATTGAACGACAAGACCTTATCTCCTTGCAGGAGACCCTGCTTTTAAGGGAATATAGCACAATCTGTAACCCCTGCTACACTGTATCCAATAATGCGTCAGTTATGATAACAAAACGTATTAGTTGTATTGTAACTCCATCAACTCAACCAGATAACTCACTTCATTCAAGGTCCCCACGTTTTTCGGCAACTGTTTTACAACTGAAACTTCAGTCGGAATTCGGCCATGAACTCAATTCTCGCTCAGGTACTTGCGCGTGTTGACGGAAAAGAAAACGGGGTCTCTCTGCCCTCGTTTGCAAATTCCCATCGAAAACTGTGACATTATATGCCCACTATGTCACTGTAACTATGTACTCTGCTCGATAAGCAAAAAAGGCGAATTCTCTAAAACAATTTTGAAATAGCTTCACCAAGCAGACCAAAACCTCAACAATCTTTCATTGATTGTAGGGGCAGGTAAGAGGACGATTACAACTCGTCGTCCCTTATTCCTAGAGAGACCGCGTGGAAAATCAGGTTCTTAAGTTAATAAGAGTATTGCTGTAGAAAAAAAGGTGATTTATGGCTGCACGATATTCAGTAGGAAACGATTACGTGGTGGGTCGTTAGATCCAACAGGCGTTCTGCAACTCGTACAACGCGCTGCACTTCACGTCTTGAAAATGATCCGTTTGACCCAGATAAGACACCTTTTGTAAAGTTCATTTTGAGATTAATGGTTCCGTGGGAGTATTGATTTTATGGGTATTTTCAACCGCTGAGGTCACTTTGTACAGGTCAGTGGCTCGCCCTTAGCAACTGGAGGGAGGTCCGAGCATCTAGTCGCATAAACTTTCGATCGCATCTCCACTCCCTTTGTATACTATTTGCGCTTTAACTCTTCCCATGGTTTTATTTGAATTATTATTCCTCTTGTTCAAAGAATTCT